GAGGGTTGCGATCCCGTGGCTGGTCCCCGGTACAGGCGTGACACCGAGGGTTGCGATCCCGTTACCGGTCAGTAAAAAAAGACAAAAAAATAAATAAATAAATAAATAAATAAATAAAATAAAGATGACTGGTAAGGGGATCTTAACCCTTAACTTGGTGTTGTCAGCACCACGCTCAGCCAGTGAGCGAACCGGCCATCCCTATATGGGATCCGAACCCGGGGCCTTGGTGTTATCAGCACCGCACTCTCCCGAGTGAGCCACGGGCCGGCCCAGCCTTGTTTGTTTTGTAAACAATTAAAACTTCCTGAACATGACCCAGGCTTACTCAAGGAGAGGGGAGTTTCCAGTCCTAAGGTTGCCCCTAAACACAAGGACATCCCTTCCCTGGTGTTTTTGGCAAGAGGTTGCCCTCTAGTATGCTGAGAAACAGTAGTAAAACCAGAAAGGCCCATCCAGAGCCATGTTAAGATTTTTGGAGGCTACCGTATTTGTTGTAATTCTTAGTTAAATTTACACTATAAAATACCAGCGTGAGGAAGTCCACAACGTCTGGGTTTTTCCCCATGCTGACAATTCTCCTGCCATTTATTTATGTAACTTTTTAAGTGTTAAATTCTCTCCCCCCTTGATTGGCTCAGGACCCCTGCTGTATGGGTGCCCAGCCCCAGCACCCTCATCACAGGTCAGCCGGTATGTGTCCTAGTTCAGAGTCCTTACTGATGATATTCTTACCTCCGGGTCAGAGAGTGGACAGGGAGAGCCACAGTCCCCCTGCAGCACAGCAGGGAAAGGCCATGGTCTCCTTTCTCAGGAGTCCCAACCTGCTGAAAAGCTGCAGTCACCAGAAGCTTTTTGCTGTGGTGCTACCAGGAAGGGGGTGGCTCAGCAGCCCACCACTAAGTAAAACGGTTAGTCACCCCTTTGTCAATGCTTCCTTTGTGCCAGGCCTGTCCTGAGCTCTTTACAAATGTTGACTCATGTCAACTTCAAAGCCCTTACGAGGTGGGTACACCTGCCATCCCCATTGTACAGATGAGGAAGCCGAGGCCCAGAATGGTTAAGTAACCAGCCCAAGGCCACACAGCCAGGAAGTACTAGAGCCAAGAATGAAATAATCTTAGTCTGTTTTCCACTGCTATAACAGAATACCTGAGACTGGATATTTTATAAAGAAAAGAGATGTATTTGGCTCACAGTTTTGGAGGCTGGGAAGTCCAACAGCATAGCACTGGCTTCTGGTGAGGACCCATGTACTGCATCATCCCATGGCAGAAGAGAGCCAAACTGGCTTTTTCTCATTCCTCCTCCTCCTCCTCTTCTTCTTCTTCTTCATCTTCTTCTTTTCTTTTTGAACTAGCTTTTATAACAAGCTTACTCTCGAGATAACTAACCCGCTCCCAGGATAACATTAACCCATTCATGAGGGCAGATGCCTCTTGACCTAATCACCTCTTAAAAATCCCACTTCTTGGGCCGAGCCCGTGGCGCACTCGGGAGAGTGCGGTTTGCTGCGCTCCCGCCGCGGGTTTGGATCCTATATAGGGATGACCGGTGCGCTCACAGCGCTCACTGGCTGAGCGCGGTGCAGCCGGTCTCAAAAAGGACAAAAAAAAAAATCCCACTTCTCAACACTGTTGCATTGAGGATTAAGTTTCCAGCACAGGAACTTTGGGGACACATCCAAACCATAGCAGAAACCCAACAGTCTGGCTCCAGAGTCAATGTTACATGGCCCTGACCTCCCAGGCAGTTCTTCCAGGAACCTCCCCTCTCAGGAGCCACCACCCCTACCTCCCCTCCCCTAGGCCCTTCTCAGGGAGTACCTCTTTCTTTTATTTTTTTTTTTTCCCAAAAGATGACTGGTAAGGGGATCTTAACCCTTGACTTGGTGTTGTCAGCACCACGCTCAGCCAGTGAGCGAACCGGCCATCCCTATGTGGGATCCGAACCCGGGGCCTTGGTGTTATTAGCACCGCACTCTACCGAGTGAGCCACGGGCCGGCCCAGGGAGTACCTCTTTCTTTTTTTTTTTTTTTCCAAAAGATGACCGGTAAGGGGATCTTAACCCTTGACTTGGTGTTGTCAGCACCACGCTCAGCCAGTGAGCGAACCGGCCATCCCTATGTGGGATCCGAACCCGGGGCCTTGGTGTTATTAGCACCACACTCTACCGAGTGAGCCACGGGCCGGCCCAGGGAGTACCTCTTTCTGAACCTCCCTTCCACATCAGCCCTGTCCTTGGCCATAGGAACCCCAGACCATCAGAGCCAAACAGGCTCATGCCACCCTCAGATGAGTAAAGAGAGGCCCCGAGACGTGCGTGGCACACCCATGTCCCCACAAATCACAAAGGTAGTGGGGAGAGAAAAAGAAACATATGCATAAAAACCACCAGGCATATTTATGAAGCGTACACTGCAACTGCATGCCAGACATTGTTCCAGGCACTGGAGACCCAGAGGAGGCAGGACCCAGTCCCCGTCCCAATGTTGATCCCAGTCTGGGAGGGAGATGACACTTAGCATGAAAGCCAAGGAACAAGATAATTTCAGATTTAGTGGCAAGTGCTCTTGAGAAGACAGGAAAGGCCTGAGGGGCAGAATTAGAAAGACCTATACAGGGAGGTAAGTTTTGGTCCCAGACCCTCACCTCGATCGATCTATCATTCATTCATTCATTCATTCATTCATTCATTTATTTATTTATTTGGCAGCTGGGCTGTAAGGAGATCTAAACCCTTGGCCTTGGTGTCTCACCTTGATTTATAGTGTTAAATAAAAATTATCAGAGGCCATTGTCTTGGACTAAGTTCCTGCACTAGGCCCCAACAGACCAGACTAAAAAACAAAATGGAGTCACCCCTGCTAAGCTCCACTTCACTTAGGTTGTCGTCTGACTTTCTGAGAAGTCAGGAGAAAGAGATAGCCAATTTCCCAAAGAGGCCAATTTAAATCTTCAGTAGGTATAATAATGGTAAATGAAGTTCCCTCTGCTTTACTCCTTACATGAAAGAGAACCTCAAGTAACCTGATGTTAACTAATCCGTTATTTTCCCAGTGTTGTCTTCCTCTCCCCAGCTAACAAGGAAAGTAACTTTGAAACGACCAATCCACTTTTTTGCTCTGTTTCTCCTTTCTTCAGCTTTTTCTGTCTATAAAGCCTTTGTCATATGCGGTAAATTTTGGAGCACTTCTCTGACTCTGTTGGATAGCGTTTCCCAGGTCAGTCCTCACATTTGGCTCCCAATAAGCTTTGCAAAATAATTTAATTTCGGTTAACAATAGGGACCTGTATGGTGAGGACGGTGGCAATCCTGGGGCTCCCAACTGCATTCTCCCCACACCCAGAAGAAGGCAGTTGTATTTCACTGCCATGTTATACAACGGCGAACCAAGGGCAGAGAGGGGTTAGGCAGGTGGCCCAGAGCCGCGTCGCTGGACGACCCCTAGACCCCGTGAGACAAGCAGGTTTATCGCCTCCTGGGGAAGAGGCAGGTCCGCCCCAAACCCCGCCCCCTCCCGGAGTGCGCTTTCGCCCTGGTTGGGGAGCCCCTCGGCACCCACTGATATGAGCAGGGGGCGGGGCGCACGGCCGGCCGGGTCTCCGGAGGCAGTGAAGGAAGGTCGTGATTGGCTTGCCTCGGAGGGTGGGCGTGGCCTCCGCCGGTCAGTGAGCGCGCCGCGGGGAGGGGTTGCCGGGGTTAGAGAGGGAAGGGGCGTGATCCCGCGCGGGATGCCGTTGACGGCGTGGCCCCGCCCCGGATGTCCTACGTCGCGGCCTGGGCGTCTGCGATTGGCCGGCGCGGCACGGGGGGCGGGGCGGGAGGCGGGCCGGGTCTCCGGAGGCAGTGAAGGAAGGTCGTGATTGGCTTGCCTCGGAGGGTGGGCGTGGCCTCCGCCGGTCAGTGAGCGCGCCGCGGGGGGGGGTCGCCGGGGGT